TTTTCTCTTCCCAAATATTCAACCCTTTCAAAGTGCTTTGTGCATTACAATTTGTTGATGTGAACCCTGAATTAGATTTCAAGTTTGGGATACAACTTTAGACTATGGATGGTAGTACTTTTGCTTCGGAACCGGCTAAGGTAGTATTTTTATTTCAAATTTTGTTTTTAATTTCAAAATGGGGTTAAAGGGACTAAAAGCGTAATTTTAAATGACCCTCCATGCCACTGCAAGCTAACCAGGAGGAGAAGGTCAATCTCAATTGATATTACTGTCACAGCTTTGTGACTCCGTTGCTCCTCTAGTTCTGATTTTACGCAGAAGTGTACATACTAGAAATTCAAAATATTTTTGTTCTTTACAATATCTCTTCAATACGAGAATTTATGATCAAAAACATATAAGTTGTCAATCTTACTTGCATTTTACTTTAGTTTGACGTGATGCTTTTTCTAGGCTTAAAAGCTTTCAAATCTAATAATTAATATATGTTTCCTTGCAGTAGAAATGCGCAGTAGAAACCACAATTTAAAATAATAAGTTTTTCAACCTATATTCATTGATATCTAAGTAAGCTTTCCATCGTAAGTAAATTTTACAATTGCGCACAATTGCAAGTCCTTTTATTCTGCACAGTTCCATGTAATTCCACGCAATTTCGCGTAATTCCTCGCAACTCCTTGTAATTCTTTGCAATTCCGCACAGTTTTGCACAATTTCGCGCTTGAATTTACACGTTTTATAAATAAGTAATTCCAAATATTTTTACCTAGTTTCACTTTAATATCCCATATTTGCAACTTTTGTGGAAAATTCCTTCCTTGCTTTAAATGTTTTTACATTTAAAAATTATTTTAGTTTCTTTTGTCCTTCTTTATATCGGAAATCGGAAAAACCATCAAGTTTTCTTAAAAACTGTTGAAGACAGTGATATTAAAAACATTTGTTATTGATTTCATAGAGATAAACAGAGTGAGAGAGAGAGATGTATAAACATTGCTAAACAAATAGATTTAAGTGTTTTATAAAAATCCTCTGGAAATCCCTTCAAATGTTTACATATTAGAGGTATATATATGTTGTCAAAACAGTTCTAACTTTCTTAACTGTCGTACAATATGTTGTTTTGATAATCTAGGGTGTAGTTACATTTTTTGTCAATAAGCTTCCACACAATTCATTTTTAAGCCTTCATATCAAAATGTTTAGAGATACAATTGCGAGAAATAGAATTATTAGGAACAGAGATCACAATGATTCTTCCAGGCTCCATTTTTTGCATAAAACGTGCTGGGTCGACTTTACACTGGGTAGTACAGACTGGGCAGTACGATTGAACGCATGTACATGTTGTACCGGCTCGGATTATGCAACTTTTAGAGTGGGGTGAGATATGAAGAAAATAAATGAAACAGGAAATATTTTATTTCTAAAATGAAAAAAATATTTGTGAATTATTGTTTAGAGAAAGGGAAGTGAGTTTTTGCCTCAAACTCAAATTTTCTCATCATATATCTTTAATCAATCTGAAATTGTAAGCCTTTCATATTTCAAACTTAGATTATTTTATCTAACAGTCTAAGTTTGAAATAGCAAAGGTTTACGCTAAGGTTGCAAAGATATTAGGGATAAGAAAATTTGAGTATGTGACAAAAACTCAGTTTCTATTGTAACTTTTAAAAAATAAAGATTAGCATTGTTTTTATCATAGTAACAATAATATAAATTATTGGTACTGTCTGGAGTACTAAAAATCAAGCAAAACTAGATGTTGTTAAAAAAGTTTGATATTTCCTAGAAAATACCTGTTATTTAATCTGATTATCGAGTGTATTGTATATTGTACAAGACTATCCCCTAGTTTTAAACCTGACAAACTTGAGAAAACTCCGATCCTTTCTCGTCCTTTAAATTCATTTAAACTTTTACTAAATATTTCATCCCCCAAGACCAGGGAGATGGAGAGGGGAGATATCAAAAGTAACTTTGATAAATTGAATGTTTTGAATTGAACTTTTTTATAAAGTGAAATTTTTTATATTTGTTTTGGTATCTGAGACAGGGAAGTATTATTTTTCCATTTAGAAATACTCTCAAAATTAAAATAAACCCTCCCTGGGAGCTCGAAATCTACCAAATATCATATCATTATCTAAACTGTATTCCAATTATATAAACTTTATCAGTAAAGTTTTGTTTCAAAGGGTTAAATGTTTATATTCCTGTAACGAAGCCCGCCTCTTATTACGGATGAAATTGTAGATACTGAACCAAATTGAATATATATATCGTTTCCAGGATAAATGTTGTGCAAATAATTTGATTTTTCGAACTACTGATTTTGATGAAAGAAAATCGCTGATCACCCATTTTTTTGATGAATAGAAGAAATGATTAATACTTTTGTATAACAAAAGAATATATTTTAACAATTTCAAGCCAGGTTTTACTTATAGCTATTAATAATTTTTGCTTTGTAAAATTAGAATTAAACTTATTTGCAATGTATGTCAATTGTAATGTCCAAGAGCCCAAACTTTACAGACAATTTTCTAGAATTGATTATTGTTGGGCAGAATTATTATTTCATATTACAGAGATGTATATGCCTACTAAAACTTTCTTTCTGGATTTTTGAGGGGGGGGGCAGGGTGAATAAAAAATTAACCCTAAACCCGAAAAGGAAAAATCCTGGGATTTGTTCTATAATACTCTATTTTCTTTCCGCCCTAGTGCTCCGGTTTTTACTGCAATATCGTTCCTTGATGTCAGCTGCTATCCTAAGCTATTAACTACTGTTCTATATTCTCTTCTTAAAGATTTGATTTTACGTAATTGGTGAAATTTTAATGAGAGTGTGTTTGTGTATTCAGCTTTTTTATTTGAGTAAATGTTGTGTTAATTAGAGAGAAAACAAGTTTCTTAATAGTTCTTTTGCTTTGGAATACCATGGAAAATATTTTTATAGGTTGATCAAATTAATTGACAGATGCTTTTCGTTTATTAATTTATCTACAATTTATATCACTCGATCTCAGAACAGACATTTTTCGAGGACATCTTTTTTATATTCCCTTGTTATTATCATTAGTTAATATTTAAAGTATAATGCCGAAGAGAAGTTTTGTATCTTCCGCTATTTTAAGAGAAAATAGTATTTTTTTTACAGCTGATGTTATAATTTTATTGAGTCTTTATTGTAATTCTTTGGGATGATTAGGTAAAATTACTTTCCGCTATTAAGAGGGTCAACCCAGACCGAAAAATATTTCTACTTTTTTTTACTCTACAGAGGTTTGGTCCATCACCATCACCAAATTTTACAATCTTTAATCGCTCCTAAGATTGATTTTGTCCAGTTTTGTGCCTAATAAAAAGTTTTTTTTAGTTTACTAATTATAATTTGAATAAGATAGAGACAAGAGGACAGCTACCGGGAGCCTTGAATGTATAAAACATAAACATGTTATTGAACTAACTGCCCTGTATTTCTAGGAGTTGGTGGCAAGTAATCCTGAGCCCCGGAACTGGAAAGGATTAATGATTTCAATCCTTGTAATCCTTTCTGTGATCCTCATGGTTGGTCTTGCAGTTTATTGGATGACTCCTCCGGATCCAGGACCTAGGTATAGATTTATTTGTCATCCCATCCCTCTTCTCCCCCCCCCTTCCTTTCTCATCCACACATTCAATTCTGCTCTGACACAATTTATGTTTCTCGACTCTGACTTTATTTTTATTTGTATATTTTTACATAAATTTCAAGCTGACCACTTTACACCACACTATACATTATAGTGTCCCCACAAACACTTCACTTCAGGGATGGGCTTCGATTTTTATTTTTATTATAAAACATAAATCTTTCTGTATTTCAGGTCTAAAGTAGAATGAATTTTTTAATGCGCTTTTGGTTTCCGTTGTTTATGCATTATACCTTTTATCATTGAAGTCAATTTTCTGTTCTCAACAATATTTTAATTCTTGATTTTTTTTTGCAAAAAAAAGAACACGATCACTACAAGAACAAATTGAAAAACATGGAAAATGGAAAAATACTTAACATGGTCAGCTCTATAATTAACAAAAGAAAGAAAGATAAAGAAAAAAAATTTGCAAAGGTATAACTTTACATTTCTAAGAATTTTGCAGATATTTGCACCTCCAAGGCCATAGTCTCAAGTCTTTTTGAACTCAAATGAAATTTTTAAAATTAATATTTATTCATGAATCAAGACTTCTAGATTTGAATTTACTTTTATTAATGGAGTAACTGTATGTTCATTTACAACATTAAATTGCGCAAACTATCTCTTTCTGAGAAACAAACTTTTAAATACCGGGAACGGATTAACCATATTTTTTAAAAAGCTGGACGCAACTTTCCCAAAACCACCCCATTACCCCCCCCCCCCCCATCTAATTTGTGGCCCTTTTTAACGTCTAGCTCTCATTGTAAAAAATTCGGAGATGCCACCATTGAGTAATTCTAATTTAAAACTAGGTTCTAAATAGATTTAAACCCATTGGAATGTTCAGTGGGATTTGCTAAGCTAAGTTCCTTGTTCTCAATATACTTCTTGTTCAGGGTGAAGGGTGAACGAATTCGTCTAGATCAGATACTTGAAGATAGGTTTAAACCTGCAACCTATAATGCTACCTTTGTTGGTAAGCTATATAACTCATTAATAGTTTCAAACCTATTAAAAATGTCTAAACTTGTGGATTTTTTGATGTAGAAACAGTGGAACTAATTATGAGAATTAAGCACTTTTCAGGCCATGGTACAACTCATCTTATATATTTATAAAGTTGTAAACTCTGTTGTGTCTGTTTGTTTGTCCGATCATAACTCAGGAACCCCTAGACCGATTTGCCTTAAATTTTGATTGGGAAACTCGGGAGACCCACGGAAATGTTCTTAGCTTAGTTTTGAGATTCTAAATTGAGTGGGTTGACTTTAATACGAAAGTTTATTTTCCCGGTAAAATTGTTCAAGTGCGGGTAAACGGCGGGAGTAGCTAACCTGGACAGCGCTGGATTCCCAAGCTATAGTAATTAATATTGCAGATATAGGTTTAAAGTGCATCGTTTGTGAATCAGACATAGCCTGCTTTTAATGAAATGTCCCATGACAGGACAGCTTAACATAGTTTAATATGAAAATATCCTTTTATGGTCGCCAATAATGTCAAAAAAATGTTTACGATAAATGCTGTAAATTGTAGGATCTAGGAGATTAAACATTTTATAACTGATGCAAACACTCTTTTTATAGCATCTAAACATACATCTTTTGTGTCAATATCTCGCTTCCTTTCCTTTCTTCTCGAGAAACTTAAAGTTGATTTATTTTTGATTTTCTGTGCAAATATTTTACTTTTGAGCTTTAGGGAAATACGCTGTGCTAAAACATTTTTTCGAAGAAGGTGTCCAAATTTTGTATTCCCAAGCTGGCAGACCGAAATGTATAATTTGCTCAAATGTAAACTTAACTAGAATAATTTTGGTAAGCACTTTTATTTTTATTATTGATTTTATTAATATTTTCTGAATACAAAGGAAAACATTTTAATAAAACAAATTAATATTCTAATTTCAAAAAGATTTTATTAACAACAGCCGGCCACATTTTATATCAAAGCAAACTCGCTAAAATAAACTTTACATGCTTTGACAAACTCTGATTTTTTAATTTCTATATCTTCACAATCCATTGTTGTAGATCTTAGATATTTCAAGCTATGACTTCTGTTACATCAAATTATCCTAATTTGAAATATTAAAGAGATATTTTAGAGATATAGGAATTAGAAAATTGGTAGCAAAGACGTAATTTCTTTGAGAGTTAGAAACTGAGAAAATAATTATGTTTTTTAGTCCCAGTTTTCTCTGACAAGTAACAAGCTGACCGTTGAAATGTGATATACTTCTTGTTAAGCAAATTTGAGCAAGGATGAGTTGGGAAGCGGGGGTACAGGGGAAATTTCTATTTTAAAAGGATTAAATATAAAAGATTTTTTTTAAATATGAAAATAAATTCAGAAATGTAACATTCAAAATTTGATCTTAAAAACTCACTTCCTTTCTGTTGAGTTCAGTTTCAGTGTTAATTACATTTAACCACGGAGTTAAACTTGCTAAGCTCGTTAAACTCGTTAAACTGAGGTTTAAATGGAACATTAGGAAACCAACTTTTATTAAAATCTTCTCAACCTGATGCCTGAGCAAGATATATCAAACTTTAAACAATGTTGGTTTTAATAAAATGTCCACACTTCAACCATTTGTTTGAATATACATACAGTGTTACAAAATATGACCAACTGTACGGTATACGGTATATATACATATATGTACTTTTCTTGTTAGTTTGTTTGTTTGTTTTCTAACCAATAAACGTTAAAGCGGCAAAAAAAAATTTTGGGACCTCACATGACCCAAAGAAGGTGTATATGGATGGTCAGATTTTTTTTAAATGCCGCAGATAGAGCAACAAAATTTAAATCGAAGAGGGGCCCGAAGTGCCGTGAAACATGTTTTAACCAACCTACAGAATATTGTATGTAATGATTTTTCGGACGGTTTATCCTTTGTTGTTAAACCTGTATTCAAATTTAAAACATCGTCTCATTTGATAAATTATCAACAGATGGCTGTAAACATCGCAAAAGAAACAATTTTTCAAAATTTAATTATTTTGGTCCTTAGATGATACGATTGACAAATGTTCTCCAAAACTCACTTTTTAAACTTTTCTTACAGTTTTATTTTTTCATTTTATAATAATAATATTTTAGCTTTAAAAACGTAGTTAAACAGAACTGTTTCAAAAACTTTGCTCTTCTTCTTTGATCTTGACTTTTACAAAAGCCTAAAATCCCTTTTAAGTTTATACGTTAGAAAATATCAGAAATTATTAGCAAATACCAAAAGAAGATTTTCTTTTATAAGTTTCAAGGATGAGAATAGAATACCGAGAAATCTATATTTACTTTTATTATCTTAGAAATAATGAACTTTGATGTCTTTTTTTCGTGAAAGGGAGAGTTTGCTAAAAATATAAAGATGTCCAATAAACTATAAATGGCATCTATCTGATGTTTCTGTAACGACATTTTGGAAAAAAATCTGAATTCCTGAATGGAAATGTTGTTATAATTTCAAGTGGCCTTCCATTTACAAAGGAAAATGCTCCATTAACAACCCATTTTTCTTCAAACATTTATATTGTCGATATTTGGATGATATTGTCGATTTCAAGTTTGAAAAGCGTATAATTCTGACAATATGCTCCATTATTTCAAGTTTGAAAAGCTTATAATTCTGACAATATATGCTCCATTATTTCAAGTTTGAAGAGCGTATAATTCTGACAATATTCTCCATTATTTTATGTTTGAAAAGCGTATAATTCTGACAATATTCTCCATTATTTCAAGTTTGAAAAACGTATAATTCTGACAATATGTGCTCCATTAATTCAAGTTTGAAAAGCGTAAAATTCTGACAATATATGCTCCATTATTTTAAGTTTGAAAAGCGCATAATTCTGATAATATATGCTCCATTATTTCAAGTTTAAAACCTCTCTCCTTAATAAGGGTAAATACTTAATTATTCATCTTTACTTTTACATAATATATATAGTAGCTTAAGTATTGAAGCAAAGAGAGAAAATTCAAAATGGTGGAACAACAGAAATTCATTGATATTTGATCAATGATTAATGATCTATGATCAATGATCAATGATCAATGATCTATGATCATCTATGATCAATGATCTATGATCATCTATGATCAATGATCTATGATCAATGATCTATGATCAATGATCTATGATCAATGATCTATGATCAATGATCTATGATCAATGATCTATGATTAATGATCTATGATCAATGATCTATGATCAATGATCTATGTTCAATGATCAATGATCAATGATCAATGATCAATGATCAATGATCAATGATCTATGATCAATGATCAATGATCAATGATCTATGATAATGATCTATGATCAATGATCTATGATCAATGATCTATGATCAATGATCTATGATCAGTGATCTATGATCAATGATCAATGACAAATGATCTATGATCAATGATCTATGATCAATGATCTATGTTCAATGATCAATGATCTATGATCAATGATCTATGATCAATGATCTATGATCAATGATCTATGATCTATGATCAATGATCTATGATCAATGATCTATGATCAATAATCATGATCAATGATCTATGATCAATGATCTATGATCAATGATCTATGATCAATGATCAATGATCAATGATCTATGATCAATGATCAATGATCAATGATCTATGATCAATGATCAATGATCTATGATCAATGATCTATGATCTATGATCTATGATCAATGATCTATGATCTATGATCAATGATCTATGATCAATGATCTATGATCAATAATCTATGATCAATGATCTATGATCAATGATCTATGATCAATGATCTATGATCCATAATGTCTAAACCTATGTATATTGTAGGGCGTGATCTAGTATTTATGAACTGGGAGGGTGGATTATCAGTATTAAGTGTAGAGGGTGGAAGCCGAAGTATCCTAGACAACAGTACCTTTGTAAGTATTTTTTTGGCAACATTTTTTTAATACATAAAACCATACATACCAGATTGAATAAAAAGCAAGCTCTAGTTGAACCACATAAATATAAGCTGTGATCTTCAGTTAAAGTTAAAAAGAAGTGGGTTAACTATACTCTACGGAGTTCAACTCCTGTTCACTATTTTTAAAATTTGGTACCGTTACTTAGCGGCTTTAGATGCATCTTTACCTTCATGTTTCGGTGAAATTTTTCCAGTCGTAACAATTGAGATTTTAAAAATAAATTCAAGGATGACCTCTCTTGGTGCAAGCGCTGTACTCTACTCAATATACATTGTGATTTATAGTTTGATTTGTTTAAATATCACAAACTTTAAATCATGTATCTCTTAAAAAATAATTTAAAAAATTTAATAAAATTAAATTGAGCTTTACATGGATTTTACAACATTGAATCTATTGGGCTTTCCAATAGACATTATGTAATAATTTGTATATTGAAAATATATACATAAATGTTACATCAATCATTTTTGACATATTTTCATCAAAATAATTTAAATTTTCACAAATAATTCAATTTTACAATGAATTTAGAAAATTTTAAAATTTTCAAATATTTAGAGAACGCTGAACTGTCATAAATACAGTATAGACGAGCGACTGGAGCATGTTATGCTAATTCATGAAATTCAATCTGTTTTTCGGCATTCCACCACAGCAAAATATACCATTCAGAATATTAAGGACAGGTACGGAAAAAACAAAGAGGTTATAGTATATAGAGTGATGATGTACGCTAATCCTTTACTACAATTGTACAGGCTATGTACTTCACTTCCAAAGGTCAATCTGTATATTACAGTACTCGGGGGTGATTTCTGAAAATATTTAAATGGAGAATTTGTTTTCCATGTAACTATTAAAATCCATCACTCCTTTATCGTGTACAGGATTCCATTTTCACAGGAAGACAAACTATTACAGTCTTTTACAGAGCAATATTGCATCGTTAATAAACTATTCTGAGAAAACTAAGTAAAATTTAAGATACGAAACCTCCCCATACACTTGTACTCCGAAAGCGTACTGCATATTTGATGTTTGTACTGTATGAATAGGCCATAATCTCTTAACATACTTTATCAGTAAACTATCCCAAGTGTACACTCAGGGCAATACACACGGAGAGGTAGCTAAGATCCAGTCCCCATGGAAAAAACTATGGTGGTAGAGGAGATTAAATCAATATAATGAAGACGACTTTTGATTTCAATTTTTATTTATATCAAGCTTTTAAACAGCATGGATACAGTTAAAAACATGGAAACACAAAGAAACTGTTAATTAAAAAAGATTCTTTTTAATAATTTATAAACTTGTGATTCGGAAAAAGCTTGTTAACAATCAAAATTTAAATAAAAAGTCGTATTCATTGTTTTGATATAATCGCCTACCCCCGTATCGGAACACGTTTCTTAGACAAAATTACCTTGTGTGTGTTTTTTCCCGTGATGAGTTTTCTTATGTAGGTAAATACTGAATATTTCTGGTAGATTTAGTAAAATATATTAGTTTTTTTTATAAAATAATGTTTTTTGTTCGACTTGTTTTTGACTAAGCATGGATGACGGACTTATTATCTGCAGAAGCGTTTGTAATTGTTAAATTTTGAACACTTTGTTTGCAAGCTGTTTATATACTTCAGTTCTAATATTATTAGGAAATAAATATTCACTTTAGAATAGTTAAAAACAGTTTTTTTGAGGAATATATGTATTGTCGGCTGTGTTGAGTTCACATATTGGTTTACACAAATGTAACTTAAGTTTTTATGTAAATTGAAAACCATTCTTTGAGAGATAAATAATTTGTTCTCTTTCCTCAATGATCAGTCAACAGTTTAAAGGAAGGGTCACATGAAATTACGCTGACAGTCCCTTTAAACAGTTTAAAGGAAGGGTCAAATGAAATTACGCTGACAGTCCCTTTAACTTTGTAAAGTCTTCCATTTTTTCTACAGAGGATAAAATACTTTTTTTACTACCCCCACCCATACCCCCTCCCCGCATCTACAAGTTTGAAAGTCCCAGAAGGTAACAATAGGGTTATGAAAGTTTGGTTTGAATAATGCAACCCCGTAGATTTATGTGGATTCAACTATCGTGATAGAAGTAATATTATGCAGTCTAGCGATCAAAACCGAATTCAGTTCGGGAGCAGCCTATGCTCTTTTCATTTTTTTGCGAACACTTCCTTTAAGAAAGTTTTTGTTTTCAAGTATATTTACTGGTCTGAATGGATTGTTTGTCCAGTATAGGGTTGATAAGGATTCTTTTATTTTTCTAATTTCAATCTTTGTTATTTTTCTCGTGTTTTCTTGGGTTTTCTAGCTTAGTGATATCTCAAGGCTGTTGATTTTATACAATATTAAATAGACGGAGATCTTTCTTTTCAAGACTGGTGTTAAGAAATACAATCCATATATCTTTGCAGTCTGATTGTGTAAACCTTTGATATTTCAAACTTTAGATATTTGATCATGCAAATATCTTTATTTAAAAACTCAACGGTCTAAGACATCAGCTTGCCAAGATTTAGTATCAAGTTCCTTTTTTAATCGGTTCTTTGTTTATTTATTAATTGGGAACGTGGAGAAGTAAAAAAAACGTGTAACGATAAAAAGATAAAAACACGTCAAAATATAAATTACACGTTTAATTGAGTTTTTATATTTTCGTGCATGTATCATAACTTTTCTTATTGAAGTTTTGAATTTTTAATATACAACCGGATAACGGAATGGAGTCTTTAACACAAACTCTGATTTTCTTATCACTATATCTTTGGAATCAAATGATGTAAACTTTAGATATTTCAAACTATGAATTCTGTTAGATCAAATAGTCTGAGTTTGAAATGTCAAAGGTTTACAACATCGGGTTCTAAAGATATTGGGATTTAAATACTTGAGTTTGTGGCAAAAACTCAATTCCTTTCTTGCTTGTGAGTAAAATACAAACTAGAGGAGTTACGAGGTCACAAAGTCTTACCATTAATGTCACATAGATTTTACCTTTTTGTTCTGCCTAGTTTGCAGTGACAAAATAAAGGTTTCAATACTTTAAATATCTATAAAATTTATAATTTATAATTATAATAATTATAATTTATAATTATAATAATTATAATTTATAATTTATATCTATAAATTTTATAAATGTTTTACCAATTTAAAGGTAGACAATATAAAATTACATGTTAACGGTTACCCCCGTGTATTACCCAACTAAAGGTTACCAAATCTCCTCTGTCTGAAATATATTGCACCCATGTACTGAGTACAGTGCTGCATTATAAAATGTGTATTGTGCTCCGATGGAAAATTATTTCTATACAATATTAATACTAACAAATTCTTTCACAAACTGCATGCATTGTATGCTGCTTTAAGATGAAGCACTAAATAGTTAGAAAAACTTTAATTGAAAGTTGAAAGAATTATAGAACTATTATAAGTTACACTTTTCAAACTTTTCAAACTTTTATTAAGTACCTTACTGCCTTAGCATAAAAAGTTTAACCATCTCTGGGACCAGAACAGTTGAGAAGTGAAATAAAGGTGGGGAAGTTTGTCTGAAAAAGTTTTCACATTTGTTTTCTTTTGCCTTTAAGACAAATTATGCCAACTTGTTTGTAGCAGCTAAGATACTTATGATTGTGCATTACTTATTTTTTAGATTGAGGTCCATACAATTGAGACTCAAGTTAGGATTTATTTAGTTAAATAGTTTACTTTTATACTTTAATAGGTCCAATTGTATGGAAGATCTTTGGTAAATGAAATACAAAGGAAAAAATCTTTGACTTCACTTTTCCAATCCCCATATCTTTGCGAAAATAATTCTTACTTTTATTTCAGAACCAGTCCCTTGCTTCGTCTTGGAGTCAACACGCGCCTCGATATTCTTCAGGAGCAAGAATCCTTACAGTTTGCCGCGTTCAAATCTGGAGGGGGAGTCGTCTTTGTTTCTCGAAATGATATTTACTACCTGGATGCTATACCTGACGGTCAGGTTCACAGAATAACTAGTTCAGGGGCAGCAGGAACAGTTTACAATGGCGTGGCAGATTGGCTTTATGAAGGTCAGTGATGTGTCTTCAGTTGCACCGTTTCTGCACCGTTTTTTGCAAACATTTTCTTTCAGTGTCAAATTTGTAAGAAATTCAAATTTTGATCCTGATATAAAATATATGCAAAATAACGACCCATAAACGATGCAAAAACAAACATGTTTGGATGGTTTACCAATATTTTTTATTATAAAGACATTGCAATGTGTAATATATGCAAACTTTAACATAATACAGTTTTTAAATCTTGGAACTTTAATTAAATAAAAAAACGTATCAAATTTTAAAAATTTCGTGTATAGTCCCTTTAACTCTATCAAATTTGAAATATTTCGTGTATGGTCCCTTTAACTCTATCAAATTTGAAATATTTCAGAAGAGATCTTGGGCCAGACTGAGGCGATCTGGATTAGCTCTGCTGGAACCAGGATGCTCTACGCAACCTTTAATGATTCTAATGTAGAACTTGTCACAATTAGGAAAATATATTGGCATCATTATAGATTTAGTATTTCAGAAATAGCAAACTTTGTTTAGTTTTACATTTTTTTCTGAAAAATGTTCTTTTTGCCACATTAAGTTTATAAATCTTACATTTAATGATAATGATAATGATAATGATAATGATAATGATAATGATAATGATAATGAAGATGATAATGATAATGATAATGATAATGATAATGATAATGATAATGATAATGATAATGATAATGATAATGATAATGATAATGATAATGATAATGATAATGATACCAATATTGTTTATTCTGAAGGGAATATGGTAACTCGAATAGTAAAGGGTTCTCCGCTAGAGCCAGAACACGAGAAAAATCCTTCAGATATCCAATGGTGAGATTTTTTTTATCAAAATCTTTAAATAAAAAGTGTGTTTGTTTATTTGTAATTTACGACCAAGTGCGGGTAAAAGGCTGAAGTAAGATAATATTGTATAACAATTAAATATCCTAAAATAATTTATGATATTTTCATTTTCACTATTTCTGGCTCCGTCCTTTTGACTAAGTTCCATTCTCGTTTATATTTGAGGTGTACTTGAACAGGATGAATAATACTGTCATTGTTACTTTTATTGCCTTCATTTCCTATATTTCCTATACGGAATATTCAAAGAATAAATGGTTTTTACCAAACCAAACCTGTCATATGTAAATCTATATATAAATTTGGCTTGTCTGTTTGTCTGTCTGTCTGTCTGTTTGTATCCAATAAACGTCAAAACATATATATATATGTTTTACGGTTCAATGCTTTGATGGTTTTACATGACAAAAAGTTTGAAGAATTATTTCAAGATCCAAGGAGAATGAAATTCGAGAACTTGAAATATGAATTCACAAAACTACTAGAGAATAATAGAATTTTCTTCGTATTAGGGTTTTGACGTTTTTCGTTAGATGGCTCTTATCATACATTTGTGCTTACTGCAAGGGACAGTTTACGTTATTTTAAAAGACATGTTCGATTTACGTCGATACCCTTTAATGAAAGACATCGTCTTATTTGTGTCTTAAAACTCTCTATTGATTTTTAAAGTGAGACCCAGTTATAAAACTGTATTATATGAAAGGGACCAAAATGTTCAATTTTTGATTTTTAATAGTTTAATGAACATAAAATACAGCAACTGTACAGTGTAGGTTGATACATTTCTTTTAATACTTTGATATTTGATAGTTCAATAAACATGAAATACCTCAACTGTGCAGCGTAGGTTGATACATTTCTTTTAATACTTTGATATTTGATAGTTCAATAAACATGAAATACCTCAACTGTGCAGTGTAGGTTGATACATTTCTTTTAATACTTTGATATTTAATAGTTCAATGAACATGAAATACAGCAACTGTGCAGGGTAGGTTGACACATTTCTTTTAAAACTTTGATATTTAATAGTTCAATGAACATAAAATACACCAACTGTGCAGTGTAGGTTGATACATTTCTTTTAATAATTTGATATTTAATAGTTCAATGAACATAAAATACAGCAACTGTACAGTATAAGTTTCAAAATTCTGGTAAAAGATCGTAAAATGCAATATGAGGCCCCTCCAGAAAAATCGTCTTGTTCCACAGTTTTCTGAAACTTATATTTTTTTCTTCGTCATTTCTGCTCATTGACAAGGGTTTAAAAGGTACCCTTGTAAATCAGACATGTATTGGTACTATAAATGGGTCACTTAAAATTACGTTTACTTTCCCTTTAAGCTAGGCTTTGCTTTCCGGTCATAAAACTTCCTTATGAAGACTTTGTACTTTGTTGCCACATAATATTGGGTTGCGAATTTCTGGTGAAGTTTGTCATCAAATTTCACACTTTGATATTCTGCAGATTCATGCATTCTACATATATTGCATTTGAAGTGTTAGAAATTGGTTCCAGGAATATTCAACAATAATGAAACCACAGTGAGAACCACAAAACTCTGGAAAAGGAAGACGATATTATAGTAGTACTTAATTTTATTTGATGTTACAACAAAGCAAAATAGATTTAATTAGAACTTATCAAATCACTAATCAAGTTCAATGGATCTGTTTACACCATACAATGGCTTTGTCTTATGTTCATTGTACTATTTAAAGTAATAACATGAGTCTAAAAGTCGTCTTTCTATTCCAGAGTTTTCTGGTTCCCACTGTATTCCGTAAGAATGTGATCATGTGCAGTTTAGATTATTGAATTATTTTTCCCTTTTTCTCTTTCAAAGCTAATTTGAATCTTTTTCTTTATATATAGAAAAAAGATTCAAATTAGCTTTGAAAGAGAAATGTAAACATTAAAATTTAATCAGATATTTTTTTTGACATTTTATCATTTGTGCTTCAGATTTCTACAATTAAATATTTTAAATTTTTATAAATTATAATTTATAGATTTTTATAAATTATATATGTAAACATATCCCGTTTCTCTTTAGCTTTATTATTTAATTTGGAATTTTATAAATTGTACTTTTTTCGTATGAAAAGATCAAATATGGAAATATTATTTTCAAATTTGAAAACTCTTGAAATAGCGTCAAAGAAAAAAATTGAAATTTATAATTTTAACTATTTTTTTTAAATATAAAAGTTTGAATTCTGTTTCACTAAATAAATGGGATTGGGATTTGTAAAAGCCTCTAACTTTTTGCTCCTTGTAAAATTGGTAAAATTGATTTGACAGGAGGACATTATAAACTAAATCAAATTCTCACCTCTACTATAAATGCATTTACAGATTACATGTATGTATGTATGTATGTATGTTGTTCATCCGTTTTGACTGTTTTTTTGTTATTTTAGTATAACTTCCAAGATTTCAAAACTGTATTATGTTAGCGTTTTTTTTAAAATAAACTTTGCAATATTTTTATCCTAAAATATTAGAAAAATTATCGTTTCAACACGGTCGTTTTTGCATTGTTTTTGGGCCGTTTTTGCATCGTTTTTAAGTCGTTTTTGCATCGTTTTTGGGTCGTTTTTTTCATCGATTTTGCATTGTTTTTGAGTCGTCTTTTTGCGTATTATCTTCTGCCATAGTCGAAATTTGACATAGTGTAAGAAATGCAAATATTTTGTATTCACAATTTCAAAATTATTCTCTTTCTCAATTTGTTCTCACTTATGGCCCTGAAAGAAAATTTAGGTAAAAACGGCCAAAAATCGAATGACCTGAAGGCACTTCCCCACATATATATATATATATATATGAAGATAAAAACTGATGTCGGTATCAATAAGAAAACTAGAAGGGTTTGAACGAGGTACAAATTGTTGAACAACTTCTCAAGTTTATTTGTTTTTGAGAGAAGAAGTTAAACTATCATACCTGGTCTAACTTTAACATACAATTCAATGTCTTTTCAACTTAAACATCAGCAGAAATACTCCGAAAGCTTTTATTCTTGTACAAAAGTAAGAAAGCAAACTTGTCAGGTTTCATTTGACTATTTTTCAGTTCTCTATCAACAACTCTAAAGAAATAAACAAGAATGCTTTAAAAAAATTCAAAATTTCAAATTACACTGAATTAATGTAATGTTAAATGTGGGGTGCACTGTTCAATATGACTCATCAATAATGATTACGGAAAATAAACGTCAGATTCTCTTATATCCTAAGACTGAACCAAATGTTATTAACCCTAAACAGGCGCCCCCTCTATTTTTTGCCTTGGCGCTTTGATTTTTTATACGCCCCCCCCCCCAACCACCAACAGTATATACAATACATAGATTGAGAACCCCCCAGAGAGATAATTACAATATTTAGTCTTATCTCAGTAACAGCATGAAAAAAGTGGTCATTTAGCCAAAAACAAAAAATATTTTTAATAAGAAAAATTTTACATTTAAACCTTGTTTTCCTTCTTTAGATGATTATTTTTAAACAATAGCTTTGACAATTTTGAATAAAATAATGTGTACATACATATAATAATAATTAAGAGTATAGTATTTATGATATTCTTTAATTACATATTTTTAAACTTTTTTTAAATTATTCTATTTTTAGTACATTTGGTGCTATATCCAATCAAAAGTCAGTGCTATATAAATATTCAAAAACAATCTTTATTTATCGATTATTTCTAACGATTGTTTTTAAATAGATATAGCACTAAATAAACTAAAAATCGACAAAAATGTCTTACTTTTTAATAAAGCCAGTGATTTGATTATAATTTATGCATTGGGTTGATTTAATTAAATTTAGTTTCAAACAATTACAATAAGAAGATTAGATTTCAAAGAGATTAAATCACTTTTCACTAATTTCAAATTCATCCAAATTTTGAGTTGGGCCTTTCGAAATTTCTGTAAGAATTGCCTAACACTTATTTACTCGTATTAAAGTTAGATTATTGATTGTGATTGGGAAAAGAACACAACTGAATGTGTTTTATACATTATACATTGTAAAAACAAACCAAAAAACACTTCTTGCAAATAAATTAACATGCATTGGTGTAAAAATCACGTTTTTCTGTTTTAATTGATTAGTAATTCATTTTATAATTTATTTGTTTATAATTCATTTCCTTTCTTATTAAACAGACTTTAGACTTAATTCCAAGTGAATGACCCTTGCAATTTATAGAGAGGTAAATCCGGTTTAGAATTGTACCCGATGAATAAGATTTTACTTTTCTATAGTCAAAAAATTGATTTTGTAAATTGTAGTTTCCATAAAAACTAGAATTATACTGCAGAGAAAGTGAAGAAAATGGTAAGAATTTGATACTTTTCAAGGTAAAATACGACCTTATCAATTAGTGGTTTAAAGAATACCAATGTAAATCGGACCTGCCATCTTTTAAATTGAATGTCACATGAATATACGTCTTTAGCTTCTTTAAGATTGAAACTTATCTTTTCCAGCATTGATATTTGATACAGAAATTGAGTCTTTGTCACAAACTATGATTTTCTAATCTCTATATCTTTGTAACCCAATGCCGTAGACCTTAGATATTTCAAACTATGAATTCTGTTAGATGAAAAAATCTAAGGATGAAAAAATATAGGTATTAGAAAATCAGAGTTTGTGACAAAGACTCAATTCCTTTATAAAAATATTTAGGCCGGAGCAGAAAACCCTGTGGTTCAGCTATCTGTTTACACATTTACTGGTGAAGGGGCGGGGAAAAGTGTGAAAGTAACGCCCCCAGCAGACCTTAAAAAAATGTAAGTTTTGTAATAACATCTTTTTAGAGAAAACTTTTATTTATCTGGAAAAAAATTGGTATATCTTTCAGCTATGCAAAAAACTTTGCACCGAAATTATTTTTTAATAATATTCGTCAAATTTTAAAATGTCTTGGAAATAAATTTTTTTGCAGCCAGTTCCTAAATATCTGTTTAAAACAATGGGGGCCCACTGGGGAGGGGGGGGGGGAGGGGTCATCATCGCTCCCCCTGGTTTATCATACTCTCCTTCTTTGGAAAAATAATTTTTGTTGCCGATATATTTTATGAAAAAACAGGTGGTTGAATAAACAGGAAAATATGTGAAATTCTCAGCATTTAAAAGAGAAGGTTGGTTTAATAAATGATTATTTACATCAAAAACACAAATTTCTTCGATCATCAAAAAACGATCTTTATCTGAAAAACTATAAAGTTTTCCTGTAAAAACTTAAAGCTAAAAGAACAAACATTCATAAATGTTTTTTACACAATCATAAAACATATTTATGTTTCCTCTCTTGTATGTGTACTAAAGAAATGCATATATTTTATTTGAGCCATATTTTATAAGTAATTTTCAATCTGTTCAGTTCTTCCTTTAAGATCGACTGCAAAGTTAAGTCTTCAAAGCATCTATAAAATAATACTTAAATAAAAAACTGCATTTTTAGTACAAAAAAGGTCTATAGATATAAAGGAAAACTTGAAATCTAAGCTTTTTATATTTTCTATTTATCAATTTTTTGTTTGGCCTAATTTGTAATTAGTTGCAACAATTTTCTAGATTAAACTTCTTTTGTTCTCAAGAATTTATAATAAAATTTTTAGTTAAACTAAAAGGAACTGATAATTCGCCACAAATATCTAATCTTCTCAACTTTTTGATAGCAAAAGTTTGAAATATTTTCTCATCTTTTTGATAGCCAAAGTTTGAAATTTCTAAAGGATTATTCCATCATGCTTAAAATATCGAAAAATTAGAAATATTAGTTGTCTTTAATTAAAATCATTGATGCCACAAACTAGATAAATGTTCCACTTTCATCTTTACTTCTAAAAAGTAAGTCTGTTTGAAATTCATTGACTATCCACGATTCCTCTATACTGCCTTAACAGGTTTACTCTACCCAAATCCAACTTTCGATAAAAATGTGAAAGAAATGAGCAGGACAAATTTTAAATTTGACATTAGCTTCAGCCTGCAAACCATTCATCACTACATTATAGTTCCAAACCATTCATCACTACATTAGTTCCAAACCATTCATCACTACATTAGTTCCAAAACCATTCATCACTACATTAGTTCCAAAACCATTCATCACTACATTAGTTCCAAAACCATTCATTACTACATTAGTTCCAAAANGACATTAGTTCCCAAACCATTAATCACTACAGGGACATTAGTTCCAAAACCATTCATCACTACAGGGGACATTAGTTCCAAAACCAATCATCACTACAGGGGACATTAGTTCATAAACCATTAATCACTACAGGGGACATTAGTTCCCAAACCATTAATCACTACAGGGACATTAGTTCAAAAACAATTCATCACTACAGGAGACATTAGTTCCCAAACCATTAATCACTACAGGGGACATTAGTTCCAAAACCATTAATCACTACAGGGACATTAGTTCAAAAACCATTCATCACTACAGGAGACATTAGTTCCCAAACCATTCATCACTACAGGGGACATTAGTCCCAAAACCAATCATCACTACAGCAGACATTAGTCCCAAAACCATTCATCACTACAGGGGACATTAGTTCCCAAACCATTCATCACTACAGGGGGACATTAGTTCCAAAACCATTCATCACTACAGGGGACATTAGTTCCCAAACCATTCATCACTACAGGGGGACATTAGTTCCAAAACCATTGATCACTACAGGGGACATTAGTTCAAAAACCATTCATCACTACAGGGGACATTAGTTCCAAAAGCATTCATCACTACAGGGGACATTATTTCCAAAACCATTCATCACAACAGGGGGACATTAGTTCCAAAACAGGTTTTGGAACTAATGTCCCTTCAACTAGTCTTTATATGTTTTATAGATCTTGAAAAACGTTACTAAATTGTCCAATGAAAGTGATGACTTGCCTCAGACTATAATTTTGTCATCACTATATCTCTTCAACCTGATGTTTCGATATTTAAACGACTTTGACTTCTTGATGTAACAGAATTCTTAGTTTGAAAAATCAAAGGTCGTCGAAAACAGGATGAACAGATATAAATTGAAAATTTCATTTGAATTTGAAATGCAACATGCAGTAAGCCACACCTTCTAGTGAGATTCATGTGTAGATGTAAGAAAAAGTAATCCGTGCTTTTACCTTCACAGGAATTGAGCCTTTGCCACAAACTCAAATTTTCTAGTTCCAATATCTTTTCAACCTGATCGTGTAAACCTTTGATATTTCCAACTTGGATTATTTGGTTTAACAGAATCATAGTTTGAAATATCTAAGGTCTATGACATTGGGTTGCAAAGATGTAGGGATAACAAAGTATGAGTTTGCGGCTAGAAGTCTCTTAAGTCTGTTATTTAGGGACCACTACTTCATTTCTGGCAAATGGATTTCTGAAGATAGAATATGTATTCTGTGGATGAATAGAGCTCAGAATACATCCTTCTATACACTCTGCACACAACCAGACTTCGTCTGCAAACAGGTTTTATAATTAAATATTTAAAATATAAAAGTTTTAAAAGTGATCGTAAAAAATATTGAAAAAGTGTCATAAAGAGTTCACATCCGTACATCTCAAACAATCATAAAATTTTGTAAAAAACCACTGGAATATTCCTGAAAGAAGAGCAAGAAAATGGTCCATATTAAAACAAACGTTGATCGGACTTTTCGATGAAAAGTAAACAATCTTTGTGAAAAGAGAAATCTATCGTAATCTATTATTATTGTTTACATAGATTAAATGGACCCAAGTTTTTGCGTTCCTTGGCTAAAAAGGAAACCTTTTATTTTGTTTTAGTTTTGTATAGAAGAGTTTTATAATTAAATCCTAATAGCGAAGAGTTTTCAATCTTTAGACCATATAAAAGAAAATGATTTAATCACATAAAAGAGAAAAGTTGAATATTCAAATCTTAATATAGGAGAGTTTTATAATTAGATCTTTTAGTACCGCAGAAAAGAGTCTTTAATTTAGATCTCAGCAGAGAAGAGTTATTAAAATCTTATTAAAGAAGAGTTTTATACTTAGATAAAGAAGATTTTTTATAAATTTTGGTTTTATCGGAGTAGAGTTATTGAAATCTTATTAAAGAAGATTGTTTTTAATTAGATTTTGGTAGAGATGAGTTTTCCATTTTGGGTTTATCGGAGTAGAGTTATTGAAATCTTATTAAAGAAGAGTTTTTAATTAGATTTTGATATATGATCACCTAAACGGCCACAGAAAAAACAGACGGTTTTTTTTAGATTTTGGTAGAGGAGAGTCTTTTATTTAAATCTTAATAGAGATGATGTATTAAATCATATTTCAGAAGAGTTTTATATTCAGATTTTGGTAGAGAAGAGTTCTGATACCTCTGGTGCAGGCTGGGTTGAACACTGGGGTATCCCTGTTTTCTCAAAGGTAAAATAAATATATTAAGATCGATAAGTTTTTTTTATGCATGCCGTCAAAATTTGAAAAATGATATTGTATGCTTTAATATGGGATAAAGAAACTGCTCTCGGCCCTCATACTCCAATTTGTGCAACCTGATGTCGTGGACCTATGATATAGCACTGTTTTAAATATAATTACCATATTTATAACCACCAGGTTGAAAGATATATAAAGGAATTAGAAAAAGCATATATTATGTTCGACTGCAAAAATTTACCACTGCAGCTTGTCTTGTCAGGTTCACAAGGTGTTTAAACAGTTCAGAATCTGAAATACTTAATTTTACAGCAATTTAAAAGTAAAAAAGGTATTCACACACGGAGCTGTGTACACTGTACAATGTACATACTGTATATGTTTGATAATCACAAACTTCGGGAAGTAATTTATCCTCCTCTGACAAAAGTTAGTTTTTTCCAGGGGTATTTTTAATATCTCCCTCCCCCTGAAAATATCATAATCCTCCCCTGAAAGAAACCCTCTCAACATATTTTATTTAAAAATTATAAATGTATTTATGAAATGTTGATGTAGGATGAATCCCAGATGATTAAAATCCATCCTATTAGGAAATCCATCCATCCATCAATCAATCAATCAATCTTTATTTTCGGAAAGCCTTTTACAATTAATGCTGCAAGTAGGGGTATTAAGCAAAGGATGGGGGGGGGAAAGACGGGGGGGGGGTGGGCATTTTTACTTAGAAGATGGGGAAAAGTAGTGGAGAGGGGGGGCATTTTTACTTAGAAGATGGGGAAAAGTAGTGAAGGGGAGGGGTTGAAACAAGTGATAGAAAGAGGGAACAAAGTTCACGTAATTCTTGAAGAAAGGGGTAAAGAATTTATTTTTCAATTTTCAATTAAAAATAGTTCTTTAAATATCATAAAAAAGAAAAATATCCAATATCTATATAGATATATCATTTATTATGAAGTTAACAAAATAAAATTAGATTTCTAAACAAAGTTTCTCTCACCAAAATAAGAACAATTAAATCTTTTTTTATGTTTTTAAAACAGTTGTTTGTTTCTAAATTATATTTAAAATGAAGAAAAACGACAAGGGATTATCTTAAGAAAATGGATTTCATACTACTGGATTAAAAGCAAATCAAGAATTAAGAAGTGTTTGTAAAAACAATTCAATTTTTTAGTTTTGTTACAAACATTAACTGTCTTAAATTAAAATAAATATTTAAACAAATGATTTTTATTCCCTCCCCTTTAGCTTCTTTAAGATTGAAACTTATCTTTTCCAGCATTGNCAAGAATGGTATGGATGGAGAAGGGAGGCGGAAGCTGGATATTTCCCCCAGCTAGTTCTAATGCGGGTCAGCACTACAGATATACTACCTGCGATTCAATTTTCACAGGTATAGAAGAATAAATTAAGTAGAAATTTAGCTTTTACTGCGACATTTATTTATTTCGTAAATTTATATAAAATCTTTGATTTTCCTGTTTTTAAAAAAACATTTAAATTTCAGCATAAAAAAGCTAAATTCGGGCCCAATTTGGCAGTGTTTTTAAGAACCATATAAACACATTTTCAAAAGAAATTTTTACAGTGTAGTAATAAACTTTAGATAAAGAAATTGAGTCTTTGCCACAAACTCAAATATTCTGATCCATCTTTGCAAGCAGATGGTGTAAACCTAGAGAAGTTTACTAGCAAACCAGCTGATCAGTTGAAATATGGCAGTAAATCTCTACAAACACAATGAAAATTACTCATCAGCTGCTAGATTTATACCATGACGAAGTTAAAGCTGGCCTGAATTGAAAGGTCCCAACTACACATGGAGTGAGACCCCCCGACAGTATGCTGTGAAGACACCTAAGAATATCAGAAAAAAGGAATGAATACGCTGTCATAGTGATAACCAGAACTTCATAGCAAACCAGAACTTGAACCAGAATCAAGAAGTGAAGCTAAATCAATTCCACCGCTTAATATCATAAACCCTATGTCCGGATTCTGTTGTGATTGTAAATGTTTGATTTATCCGACAGTAAAACTACAGGGAAGATTTCTATGCATGTTTCTGTAGCTCAGATACATCAGTAACCATTTCATGTCAACAATTACACTGGCATCCGTCGTACAATGTACATATGTTGAAAGTAAAAAAATAAAATTATGATAATATTTCTTCAGCAATAATCATGTTACCATCAACTTTCATCACAAATAAAAATATTGTTTGAAATATCAAAGATCTACGACATTGAATTGCAAATATTTCAGAAAAAAATTAGAGTTTGTAGCAAGAACTCAATTCCTTTATTTCGTAAGTTATAAAATGTTAAATTTTCCTACATAAAACACTTACATTTTCACTATAAAAAATGCTATATATGGGCCCAATCGGCTTAGCGTTTTTAAGATCCATAAAAAAACATTACAAATAATATTTACTGTTTATAGTTATAAGCACAGAAATACAAGAGAGGCTAAAATCATTAAATCTCAAATTTCCCTATGTTTGCAACCTGATAGTGTGTTAACCTTTGGTATTTCAATCGTAGATTATTTGATTTAGTAAAATTCATAGTATTTATCTACGACAGTGGTTTGCAAAGATATAGGGAATATAAAATTAGTAGAAATCAGAGAGTGTGACTAAGACTCAATTAAATTTTTTTGACATGTTCTATCGTTTTAATTCAAAATACATTTGTATTTCCAGGGTAGGTTCCAGGTTACAGAAATACTTGGCTGGGATCAGACAACTGGATTGTTGTAAGTACTTAATCCTTTGGATTTTCATAAAAATATCGTTGTGAATCGGACATGCCACTTCAGAAATGAGGGGTTACTTAAAATTAAGTCTTTTTAGTCCTTTTTGAAAATTTAGAATTTTTTCGGTTCTTAATTTTCTTTCAAACAAAATTAGTTCTTCCTAAAAATCTATATTTAGACACGATGAAGCTATAACCTGACTTTTTGTTGTTGTTTTGTTTTTATCATTTTCACCATTTCTGACATTGAGCAGACTGTATAATCCCTACAGTACACTGGAGTCTCTAGGGTGAATCCTTTCATAAACATAAATATACAATAGATACACTCCAACCCTACACTACAATATCTATATATCCACTCATATATATATAAATATACATAGATACGCTCCAACCCTACACTACAATATCTATATATCCACTCATATACATAAATATACAAGGATACACCCTACACTATAATATCCAGATATTCTCTCATGTACATAAATATACATGGATACACTCCAACCCTACACTACAATATCCAGGTATCCTCCCATATACGTACATAAACATACATGGATACACACTACACTATGATATCCAGGTTTCCTCCCGTATACGTACACAAATATACATGGATACACACTACACTATGATATCCAGGTTTCCTCCCATATACGTACACAAATATACGTGGATACACACTACACTATGATATCCAGGTATCCTCCCATATACGTACACAAATATACATAAAGTCAGAACTTTAAAAATGTAACCCTTTAAAGTTGTGTCGAATAATCGAAAATATGAATTAGAAATTCATATTAAGTTTATAACTTGGAAAATTGTTCAACTGTGGTTTTTCTACCAAGTGATTCACACAGTTCATACTGTATATCCCGTGGTAGTCATATCCTTTAGGGATATCTTAGATGAAGGGATCAAACATTTAATCTTTAAGTGCCTGCACATGGAATATCGAGATCAAGCGTTCAAAAGTTCGGACCTTTGAATTATTTTGCTCTATGCTCAAACACTGAAAATATGGAGTCTTCTTACTTCCCACTATCACCATAAAATGCTTCATATTTGTCTTTTAAGTGAAAAAAGGAAAAAAATATTTAGATATAGATATGTAGAAATCCAATACAATCCATACATTAGCCTTATTATTTTTCTTTCTGATTAACTGTAAATGTTGTAATTGATACATCTTCGGCCATCTTCTATTTTTATATCTAAGGTCTATGACATTGGATTCTAAAGATATAGAGATTAGAAAATCAGAGTTTGTGGCAAAGACTCAATTCCTTTGATAATAAAATTCTGACCTAATATACTGTAGACAGAAGGATAAGGTAAAATTTTTAAGTATTTTAAGAAGCAAAGGATTTGAATCTTTGCCACAAACTATGATTTTCTAAATCCTATATCTTTGGATTCCAATGTCGTAGACCTTAGATATTTCAAACTATGAATTCTGTTAGATGAAATAATATAAGTTTGAAATATCAAAGATTTACGACATTGGGTTTTAAAGATATAGGGATTATAAATTCAGAGTTTGTGGCAAAGACTCAATTCCTTTATCTGGTTATATATTAAAAATTATATATTAAATATTAGAAATTATATATTATATATTAGAAATTATGTATTATATATTAGAAATTATATATTATATATTAGAGATTCAAAACATTTTTGATAAGAGGAGTTACGATTGAAAACATTTAATATTTTATTAGGTGGCGGGTACACGTACAAATCATTTACATATAAACCGTATATCTTGTTGTCGGTTTATTAAACCAAATTAACAGAAAGGCTTCACAACTAATTTATCGTTGATATTTAACGATATTCTTGAAAGAATTTTTCGTTATTTTTTCAAAAACTTCCGTTCCTTAATAGAATTTTCCGCTGATTTTTAAAAATTTCCGTTCTTTAATAGAATTTTCCGGTGATTTTCAAAATCTTCGAAGATTTTTGAGAAACTTCCGGTGATTTTTAAAATTTTGCGTTTCTTAACTGATCTTTCCCCGGCCCAAATTATGGCCCAAATTATATTATAAAAATTTTATTATACCTGATTTAAAAGAAGTTTTGAAATGCTGACATCGGCTAACTGTTTCTGTTCTGTTCAGGTACTACATGGCCACGTTAGAAGGAAAGCCCGGTGAACGCCATTTTTTCTCCATTAACGTGACGTCATCAGCTGAAGAACGGAAACCCAGAAAACTCACAACAGGAAAACCGGAAACTTGAAATTATAATTTGTAATAGACTTTCTTTTGAAAGGTTTAGATATTTATAACTTTTTAAAATGAGTTATAGAAATAAAACCTTTTTAAAAGGCCGTTTTTGACTCCTGGTTTCCTTCAGATGCCTGCCTTTACAATAAAATACATCTTTCTCCTACATTTGAAACATACGTCCAGGTAACAGTGTGAGTCCCATTTGTACATTTTTGGATACCCTAAATGAAACATTCTTACATAATACTATATAGATAAAATATATATATAACCAGAGTTACCCATAACGGAGAAAACTTTAGTACGGAACTTGTTTAGTCCGTTTTCTTGCATTTGGGTTCCTTGTATGCCAAAACTGGTTTATTTCTGTGCTTAATAATTAAGTAAACCATAAAAATAATCAAATTAAATTAAAGTATTAAATCGCCATATTTTTAGAGTTTTAGGTCGTCTTTACAGTCTTTGTATTTATCTTAACTATTTTTCATATTACATTTGACGATGCCAAATAAGAATTCACCATTAAAAAAATACAGTTTTATATGAGGAAACCAAATCCATCAATCATTATAAAACATTATTCAAAATAATAACTTTATTTGTGTACAAAAATCTTTGGGTCCTGATATACCCAACACAGTGATGTATTATCTGCAGTACATTACATACAAACTATTCTTATGTACAGAAATGTTTGGGTCCTGATATACCCCACACAGTGATGTACTCTCTGCAGTACATTACATACAAATTATTCTTATGTATAGGAATGTTTGGGTCCTGATATACCCTACACAGTTATGTACTCTTTGCAGTACAGTACATGCAAACTATTCTCATGTAAAGGAATGTTTGAGTCCTGATATACCCTACACAGTAATGTACTCACTGCAGTACAGTACATGCAAACTTTTCTTATGTACAGGAATGTTTGGGTCCTGATATACCCTACACAGTGATGTACTCTCTGCTTTACAGTACATGAAAACTATTCTTATGTACAGGAATGTTTGGGTCCTGTTATACCTTACACAGTTATGTACTCACTGCAGTACAGTACATGCAAACTTTTCTTATGTACAGGAATGTTTGGGTCCTGATATACCCTACACAGTTATGTACTCTCTACCGTACAGTACAAGAATATCTGAACTGGAGAGTAACCAACGCTTGCATAAACAGGTTAATACAAAAAAAAGTTTTATTTACTGAAAAGAAGTGTAAATCCATGCAAATTTGGTAATATCCCATTTAATAAGGTATCCCTAAAAGCTTTGTCGGATCAAGTGTAAATTAGTAATCCTTGGTTTTTTTAAACATGTAAATTTTTATTTAGTGTTTTTCTGAGAAAGTGTCTTTCCTTGGCTTTAAGATGTAATAAGATAATAAACACTGTGAGACAGCTATAAGACGATTTTCTGCCACATTTTTTATCAGATTATTGTTTTAAGGGTACTGTTGTAAATCGCGCATTGTATCTTTGCATGGATGGGCACTTAATATTACGCATACAGTCCCTTTAAGGAGCTTATCACTCCCATAAACAAATAATTTTCGTATCTCAAAAGAGCTTTGTAACCTGATGTAATTCTGTAATTTCTCATTGTTCACAAATATTTCTGTAGATTTTCTGGAATTCTTATTGAAAAGACGCTATTTGAATAAATTTCTAGAAATCTATAAACAAATTTGTAAAGAATAAGAAATCCAATATAATAATGAAAACAAATAATTGATTCTCACATTGATTTATTAACAAATTGAGAAATATGTTCCCAGTCTTTGATATTTTAAACTTTGACTATTTGATCTAGCTGCAGCAGCTTTGTTTAAAATATCAAAATCCTTGAAGAAAATTAATGTTTGAGGTGATTTATCACAATTCACTTTTTACTTTTAATACAGATGTTCCTGTAAACGAATCAGAATAAATTCTTTTTAAAAAAGTTAGATTGTAATCTAAAACGTTTGAATTTTGTTATTCTGTAAGTTTAGCTTCGCAGATCTTTTAAAAGTAATGGATAGAATTTTAGATAGAGCAAAGTAGCTGGTTTTTTAGTTATTAGACTTTCAATCAATGTTCCTTTTGTGCAAGCAAATTTACAAATGCTCGAAAAAGAATCAGAAAATCCTCCAAACTGTTTAAATAAATCAGTCAGCTGTGTTATATACCTGATGCACCTTGCCTTTTATGACAATCAAAGTTACTGTTTTTGCTTGTTTGCATCGTTTCCATTTATTACTTAGAAACTACAGGCTTCTTTTTATATCTTTTTTCAAGTTATTAAAAATCAGAATTTTTTTTTTCATTTTGAAGCAAAATGTTCATTTTCCACCGACCAAAAACCTTGCATCGGTTATGGAAGGTCCTGCAATAATGTGTTCCGTGATTATACGATGTAACCCTTTAGGGTTGGAAGAGTAGAAGGTATATCACTGTAATTCCTTTTAATCTTCTTAAACCCCTGGGAAATATCATTCTTCTACGCATACCTAAAGTTCAAATTTGCAAAGTTAACTTTTTTATTTCAGATTTTATATTTTTAAAACTTAAAACTATGTCAATGTCCAAGTATCATGTATGTCTATGCCCAAGTATCATGTATGTCTATGCCCAAGTATCATGTATGTCTATGCCTAAGTATCATGTATGTCTATGTCCAAGTATCATGTATGTCTATGTCCAAGTATCCCATATGTCTATGTCCTATTAAGTATCCTATATGTTTAGGTCTAAGTATCCATTATGTTTAGAGCCAAGTATCCTCTATGTGTAGGTCCAAGTATCCTGTATACGTTTAGATCCAAGTATCCTCTATGTGTTAGGTCCAAGTATCCTGTATGTGAAGGTCCAAATATACTCTATGTGTAGGTCCAAGTATCCTCTATGTTTAGGTCCAAGTATCCTTTATGTTTAGGTCCTTAAGTATACTCTATGTTTAGGTTCAAGTATACTCTATGTTTAGGTCTAAGTATCCTCAGTGTATAGGTCCAAATATACTCTATGTTTAGGTCCTAGAATCCTCTATGTTTAGGTCGAAGTATACTCTATGTTTAGGTCCAAATATATACTCTATGTGATTGTGTAGGTCCAAGTATACTCTAAGGTCCTAGAATCCTCTATGTTTCCTTACGTATTCTCTATGTTTAGGTCCAAGTATCATCTATGCCCAAGCTACGCTACCTGTCAGTGCCTCTACCTGGAAGTTCAATAAATGCCCAGGTTAAGCTGACCCTCCCACCAGTTCTACGTGAAACTGAAGATTATAAGTTCCCTCTGATAGTTAATGTGTGAGTATTTTTTAGTCCACGTCTATATCAATAATAAAACTTTATAGTCAAGCACCTTTTATAAGCCCAAACTGATTGTATTCAATCATAAAATGTAAATTCTACTTATTCCACATTCTAAGTGTTCACTAGAAGAGAATCTTTGGCGTACTATCCCTTACATAGCCTGTATTTGTACTTTACAGCTTACTCTAGCCGGCTAAAATTCGACCCTGTACTTCAGATGAAACAAAATATCTTTTTGCAAACAAAATCTTAAATCTTCTTAACAATTCCCCCCTCCCTATACCAATCCTTTTAACTTTCATAAAACCATGGTATAAAGTTTAATTCTTGCTAGGCTGGTAAAAAAGGGAATTGAGCAAACCTTAATTACTTTTCAGAGTTTTCCCAAAATTTTCGTCATATTTGCAATAATGGGAAAAAATGCTTTTGATGGTCTGAACCGATAAAAATGAAAATATATTTAATCTATTTCCATTTAAAGAAAATGTACGTGTCTATGTCAGATCCCTAAAATGTCCCAAAAATATCTTTATTTGAGAATAACACTTCAGTTTTAGGATTAACATTTGGCAAGGACTCTTTGGTCCTCATATAAACTTTATTCTATAGTTAGCATTACACAGGGTATCAAAAAATACCTATTTTTCCGCTTATTCCTTGATTATCTGTAGCATAAAATCTCTTTGCTCATTTTTTTGTTCGCTATAGCTGGCCAATTGGCTGAAATTTATTTGGTAGATTTTCTTGAAATTCCACGGGCTATCCCGGGCACTGTTAAAATCATGATTAAGACCAAGCACAGGTAAACGGCGGGAGTAACTTGAACAATCTTTAGTGAATTTGAAACGCTCATTATAAATTATAATACAGAGGCTGAACATTTAGAATTGGATACATTTAATCTCTATCCTTTAATCTAAATATCCAATGTGGACAATTTTAATTTCCCTCTGAATCCCCTGTTTTCTTTCCCTGTCAGTTTGCGACCAATGAGACTCATCAAATGGCGCGCAAAATTTTTAATTTCCCGGCTTTTCTGATTGGCTGTTCTAGTTTCTCCAAACCCAACTCGAATGGTTGAATTATATATACTTTTGTTAATGTAATTAATCTTGAAATCTGGATATCCCGAAGGTCGTAAAATATCTAAAAATTAGAAGCTGTCACTAACAGTTTCCCAGCATATATATAATCCCGCAACACAACTTACCCCCCCCCCCCCATGGGCCATGCTTTGTTTAATAGACATAGACATAAACAATGATGATGGATGATGATGATGTCCAATTGTCTGGTTAAGTTTGGTCCGGATTTGAACGGGATAATCATTTTTAAAGGGATGTAAGCGTAATTTTAAGTGACCCTCAATGCTTAGATGGCATTACCCGATTTACAACGGTACCCTTAAAAGCTTTGTCTGATCAATTATGAATTAGATATCCATATTTTTGTTTCTTTAAACTGTTTGTTTTTAAATTCGGTTTCTGTGCGAAAGTTTCTTGCACATTTCTTGTTTATAAGAAGCAATGGAGAAACTCACAGAAATTAATACTTTTTGAGTCAGAAGAACGTCGGTATCTTCCACATTTTTTATCAAATTAAGTTTTCAAGGGTACCGTTGTAAATCGCGCATTGCCACCTTTGTATAGATGGTAAAAAAAACACTTACAGTTCTTTTAAAATTTAAACTTTGATCGTTAATTCTCCTTCTCTAATCTGCTATATCATTATTCTATAAATTTTAATTATCGCGGCATTTAGTCCGTCGAAATTCAAACTTTTCTAATTTTCGTTTACACAGTTGAAGAATAATCTTTTTGCTGCCTTGAATCTAAATGGAGGTAAGGGAAATAAAAAGTGAAAAATTTGCATATTAAACCTGCAATTTGAGACAGTCGTCCGGGGTAAAAACTTTCTGGTAAAACAATTTATCAAACTTTAACTTTCGTTCTCTGCAAACTTTTCTTTTAAATTTAGACTTAATAGAAATGAATTGTGAGACATTTTTTGGTACCCTTCCCCCCTTTAGAGTACAGACTCAATCAAATCCATTCTTTAGAAAAAGAATTTGTACTTACTAAATAAATACCTACCCATCTTTGGCATGTCTTGGCATTTGGGAAATTTCCCTACCTACCCACCTATATATATAATATATATACCTACCTGCCTACTTACATATCAATCTACCTAATTTTCTATTTACATACACACATATACCTAATCAATATGCACCTTAACTATCTATAAATATAGTATACTTAACTATCTATCCTACCTATCTATCTATCTACTTACCCATCTATCCTACCTATCTATCTATATCTATCTATCTACCTATCAATTAATCTACCTACTTACCTATTTGTTTATCTATGTCCAGGTATGGTGGTCCTGGAACCCAGACAGTTGACCAGCGCTGGGGAGTAGGCTGGGATACATACCTCGCTAGTAAACGAAATTTTATTGTTGCTCAACTTGATGTACGAGGATCAGGATTCCAGGTAATCCTCCCCCCTCCCCTCCTCACCCCCTGCAATTAACTGTATCTACCTACCACCCTCACTCATACTTCATACCCTACCCTTCCATTCACACCTTCCCCATCCCCTCCTGCTCCTCCGACCCTCATAAACATTATAATATATATATACCTTCTCCCCCGACCCCCATAAACAAACATACTTTCTCCCCCGACCCCCATAAACAAAACCTTCTCCCCCGACCCCCATAAACAAACATATCTTCTCTTGATTTCTCTGTCTCTACCTTCTTTGAAGCAACAATAGCACTAATTAATACCTTTTGACAGTATTTTTATCCTTTATCAAAGAACAGCCAATTTGAAATTATTCTAAATATAAAATTTCAATATTAGTTTTAGTTCTAAACATTTCTATAGAAAATATTACTCACTGGAGAAAATTTACTTCTCTTTTATTCTCTAAAGTAAACAATAAACAACTTAAAAGTTCTGAATAATAAATTTACAAAAGTATAAATGAATAATGACTGAAGAGAGCAAGAAATAACTTAGTGTAGGAATGTTAAAAAAAAAATTTTTTTAAAAATATTTAAAACTTTTTTAAAAATATACAATGCTTAGCCTAAGTTTGATATACCAAAGGTTTACACCATCAGGTTGCAAACATATGGGGATTATAAAATTTGAGTTATTCGCACAAACTTCAATTTAAAACGTTAGTTTTGTCACTGGATAACGAATTCAGTTACTAAAGTAAAGGTCAAGCTTTTTCCAAATCAAAAGTTTGGTTCTTTGTAGTACTACTTATATCCATGATTTGTCATATTAATAGTGATCAAATTATTTCATTCTATTCCTGTTTTCCCTCCTTTTCTCTCGAAGTCAGAATACGAATATTTTAGCTCCTAGTGTCCCCAGAAGGTTCCTATGCTTTATATTCCTTGGAAGAAAGGAGCAAAGATGCAAAATAAAGTTTCCTTATTTATTTGATCCCCAGGGAGAAGGTAGAAAAAGACTAGTCAAGTATAAATATGTAATGAAAAATGTTTCTTTATTTGTGTTTTCAAACTCTTAATTCTAACCTTCTGAAGGTTAAATTTTGTCTTCAGTCTTAAATATACACTTATATCCGTGAACTAAACATTTGGCAAAGAGAAAAGGTTACTTACAGGGAACAACAAATGTATTAATAAACACTGAATGAATGCTCTTAAAGGAACTGTAAGTGTAATTTCAAGTAACTCTCAATGCAAAGTTAGCAATGTCCGATTTACAACGGTACCCTTGAAACTTTAGTCTGATCAAAAATGTGGAAGATAACGTCGTTTTTTTCACTCACTCTAGAAGTGTTTATTTCTTTGAACTTTTCTATTGTTTCATTTAAGCAAGATGTGCGCAAGTCATATTTGCAGAGAAACCATAAATGAAAAAAAGTTAAAGAAGCAAAACATTATTCTATAATTTAAACTTAATCAGACAAAGCTTTAAAGGGTACCGTTGTAAATCGGGAACTGCCACTTTTGTTTGGAGTTTAACTTGAAATTACGCTTACAGTCCCTTTAAAGGGAGTGACCGGTAATGTATTCTAGGGTTTTGATTTCCTGCACGCTGTAAAGGGAAAACTAGGAACTCTAGAAACTCAAGATGTTCTCAAAGTTGTCAGGTATTGAAAAATATTTTGAAAGAAAAATTTCATTCTTGAAAAAAAAGAATTTTTTAAGCCTATGCTACCCCCTGGATACCCATGTGTGCCCTCAAAAAATGTCAGCCAATTTGGTCCAGCCGTTTGGCCAGCTATAGCTAACATATAAATATTTATATATAATTGAGCGAAATGTTTTATTATATGGATTATGTTTCTATTTTAAAATGGAAATGTGGGGTTCAATAATTTGAAGAAGAAAAAAGAAAATGGGTTTAAAAGTTTTCCAAAGCCATCTTTTTTCAGTTTAAAGTGATGAAGCTATTTTTTTAATCGTTTTTGGAACTCTTTGAGTTTAAAATCCCCGCAATTTAATGCCTCTTGTTTCAGATACTTGGTTTCAAATCTCAAATACATCGACAAAAGCAAGGTGTGTGTTTGGGGTTGGAGTTACGGCGGATATCTGTCCGCCAGAATACTGGCGGAAGATGGAAAGAACGGGCACATGGGCCGGAGTAAAGTATTCGCCTGTGGAATATCTGTAGCTCCTGTAACAGAATGGCAAAGTTATGGTGAGTAAAAAATAGTAATACAGACATAAGAAAGAAAATTTTAATAATACTAACATTAGAAAGGACATTCGGAAGAACACAAACATTTTGTACTTCCAAATGTAAACGTAAAAAGATCACAAACATTTTGTACTTCCAAATGTAAACGTAAAAAGTTTAGTTACTTTGTGCTACAAGGTCACAAAGTCGTACCAGTAATATCGCATTTATTTTACAGCTTTGCCTTTTGTCTAGTTCAGTGCAGAGGATAGAAGGTTTTGGAAAAGTCTCTTTCTGTAAATTGTGTAATTCTTTGACGATGTGCATTTGTTAATTGGTCAAACTCTGATTTTAAAATCCATCTATCTTTGCAACCCAATGGCTTGCCGTTAACTATTTCAATCTATGAATTCTGTTAGATATCAACAAATCTAAGTTTTACACCACCAGGTTTTACAGATATAGTGATTAGAAAATCGGAGTTGGTGGCGAAGACTTAATTCATTTAAAAATATTTTTTGGGCTACATGCCTAGTTGAATAAAATATATTTGTGGCTTGAAACTTGAAACTCAAGCGTGAAAACAATTAAATTCCTGTTTTTTTTAAAAACAATAAACTTATGTTATGGGTTTTTATAAATCATCATAAAAGGAAACAAACTTACAACAACAAAATTTTAACTTATAAACTAAAATATATTTTAAAAATTCAGATTGAATTGTACGGGGCACCAATTTTTTGAAAAAGCGCTAAGGGAAATTATTGTTACTTCATCTTTCGCGAAAATGTTTTAATTTTCAAATTCTTGAAGCAATTCTTAAAGGTTTAGTAAACTTATTTAGAGATTAAAACTTGAAACAAAAACTTTAATTTACACAGTTGCTAATTTCTCAGACACCTCCCAAAGGATCAGAGACAGATTTTTACCGTCTTTCTTCTTGATTTCTCTTTTTGTTGTATTTTTCCCCTGAACCTGAAATATTGGTTTTCTTGACCACATTAATATTAATCCAAAAGCTTCTATATATAAATTTGGCTTGTCTGTTTGTTTGTCTGTTTGTTTGTTTGTTTCCAATAAACGTCGAAACGGCTGAACCAATCGGGCCCAAATTTTTGTGGGACATATAGGGACCCCAGGGAAGGTTTATGAATGATCAAAATTTTAAATATTTGTCTTCATCAAAATTCGATCTTCATTAAATTTTTTAAAATTTTGAAAATCTACGAAATTTTTTGTGAAAATCCGCGAATTATTTTTGTTTTGTTTTACGATGTACACAAAGAGAACATGTTCACAATATATTTAGAAGATGGGCGCGAAGCGCCCTCTAAGGCTAGAAAGAAGGGCTCGAAGCGCCTTAAATTTCTAGTATAATAAAAGACAATTAAACCGTTGATAAGTGGAACCTATAAAACTGTGGAATAGGAAAATGACAAAGTATATTTGTTATAAAGCAAAATGTTTTAACAGCAACTTGAGAAATCAACTTATTATAAGTGAAATTGGTTCTTGGCTTTGTAGTGTATTGTAAATACAACAATAAATTGCATTTTCGTTGTGCTTCAGATTTATCTTCCATAAAATGTAAAATGCTAGGTTTTTCGAGTATTATGGTATTTTTAGCCTTAAAACTTGGAGCTAATCTAATATGATATGGGACGCTCTGCATCCTCCAATCGTGTTCCTATTCCAGTTTACTGGGCCCCTGAGTCACGCTGTATCTTTCCTCCAAAGCTATTAATCAGAGATGTTAATCCTGACGTTTGAGCTCGATATCCAATGCGGGCTTGATCCCTCAATAAAAGTTATCCCAGCAGGGTATTATCAACATGGGCATAAGATGAAGTCAATGCTTGATCCCGAGATTCACAACATTAAATTTATGACTTCAAAGCTGGAAACTTTAGAATGGTGGATATCGAGATTAATGCTTAATCCTCTCTTTTTGCTAATCTCGAGACTAACATAATGTTAGTCTCGAGATTAAATATTTAGATCAACAAATTTGATTCTAAGAACGCCAGATTTGTTCGTTTTTTTGACTGGAAGGGACTTCATTTAATTTCTCACCCATTTACTTATTAATACATTAGTTAAAATTGGTTACAAAAGAATCTCAAACGTTTTACTAAATATTTTTCTTCACCGATTAATTTACAAAATGGCCGACAACATATTCTTTGTTTGTTAGAAATTGCAGATTTCTCTCATGGGATAGAATTTATTTTCAAAGCTGTCATTGGTCAATAAGGACTAAAATTAAAAGTTTCCACAGTGGATATTCGAATTAAGTAGTTGGGATTAAAGGTTATCAATTCTAAAGTTCCCAGCTCAGAACAATTTTAATGAAAGCTTAGCCTTAATTTTCTCTTTTTTTCTTCATAAAACCCGATTTTTATTTTCCGGGTAAATACAATTATATGAGTTTATTCTTGTTAAATATAACAAAAATTTGTATTTTTATAAAAAAGATTCCATATTGTTTGTTTTTATTTGCTATTGATCGACATCAAAATCAATTTGATATTGGTTTGATAATTCAAACATTAGAAGAGTATTGAGTCCGTTCTATAAATCTCTGAGCCCTGAAAGCATTAATGTTTAAAGTGTCCGATATATTTATTATTTCCGACTAATGCAATGTCTGTATGGTATTAGACGTACGAAATATGTTATAAGAGAAATGCACTATAATATATGTACTAGACAAATACTGTGCAGAAATGAGAATTAAGATTAGAGGAAACTATGCGCTCCCTCCCCCCCCCCATTCAAACTGAAGAAATACATAAAAATGCAGCCTACATCCCAATTTTCTTCGCGACTCCACTTTTTATGCCTAATATTTTAAGAAGTGAACAAATTCTAAACATATTTAGAAGATGGTTTGATGTTAAAATTGATAAAATTTAATGGAAAAATATTCTAGAAATTGTTAAAATTCAAAATTATTCAGTGTAAATTTATTTTAAAAATTAAACAGCCTGGCGCGGCAAGATCAATTCCCAGTAGAATTATAGCTGGGCGTGAACATACTTTTAATTAATGTTTAATTAATGTTTAATTAATGTAAATGATATAGACCTACAGCTTTAAACCGAATTGTATTTTTCCGTTAGTTAACGGAATATTCCGTTAATTTTGTTAGCAAAATTTCCGTTTATTTAATTTTGTTAACGGAATTTCCCGTTAATTTTGTGAACGGAAAATTTCGTTACTTTTTTAACGAAATTTTTCATTAAGTTTGTTAATGGAAAATTACCTAATTTTACACACAAAAAATATTTTATTGAATTGAATAAAAAAAATTCTCGGTCCCGTAGTCCTGTAGTCCTATTGTACTTCTGTAGTCCTGTAGTCCTGCAGTCCTGTAGTCCTGTAGTCCTGTAGTCATGTAGTCCTGTAGTCCTATAGTCCTGTAGTCCTGTAGTCCTGTAGTCCTGTAGTCCTGTAGTCCTGTAGTCCTGTAGACCTGTAGACTTGAAGGCCTGTAGTCCTGTAGTTCTATAGTCCTGTATTCCTATAATCCTGTAGTCCTATAGTCATGTAGTCCTGTGGTCCTGATTAGTGATTATTTCTCCTACAATTAATATTTTAGATTCCGCCTATACAGAGAAGTATATGGGGCTGCCTACCCCTCAGGAGAACTGGAAAGGATATGCAGAGGTAATTTAGGAACCTGGATACAGTGAGAACAAGAAAACTGTGGAATAGGAAGACGGCAATTAAAACAATATTTTTTGGTATTTCATGGCATATAGTTATAATCGAATGGGTCTTTTACACTGGATGATCGGTGTGTTTAATGTTCATTGCAGACTATTTAAAGTCTTAACTTGAGCCTTATAGTAGTCTTCCTATTGCTGAGTTTTATGGTATTCATTGTATATTAAACACTGAGGTCAAACATTTTGTATTGATAATCCCTTTAATAAGAATTAATCCGTATCTTTTGAACTCCGACGGATTAAGGTAATTCCAAAACGTCCACAAAAAACCTGTTCTCGGTGTATGAGATATGGCACTTAAATACTATATTAAATTTCTTTTTAAATTTAAAGTTTCTGCTGTTGATATAAAGATGGGCTTTTAATCCTATCCCTGCTGGGGTACTTGAAATAATTTGCAACCATTTCTTTGCAAAACTTATGCAATCCGTTCCCTTATGCTAGGCTTTCTAAAAGGCTCAACATCATCAAAATCTGACAACTGAAAATGGGTCAAAACAAAGATTTAGTTTGTTACTGGAAAAAGTAGTGATTTAGACAGTGTGCTTAAGGACTCAGGAAGTTAGGATTAAATGAAAAGAAAATTTTAATTCTTAGTTTACAGTACCCTTGAAACCTTTATCTGATCAAAATGTTGAATGATTAAGTCGTTATGTCTTGTTTGAAAAGTGTTTAATTCTGATAATTCCTACATGGTTTTCTTGTTGTAGATATATGCAATTCACTTTTGTAAAGAAATCATACTTGAAAATAATCAGCTTTCAAAATTATAAACATGATTTTCTAATTCAATTGGACATGCCATTTTCAATAAATGTAATGTCACTTACAATTCCTTTTATACAGACCCTTCAAATTCTCTGTTGTTCAAAAACAATTGTTCGAAAATTTAATCCAAAACAATTTATAGAAGAAAAATACTTATTTATAAACTCCATCCCTGACTCATTTTTGTTAAGTCGAGTTTGAACAGTAAACTAGAGAATATCTGGGACAACACCTACCTTGTACTACATGGTACTGCAGACGATAATGTACATATACATCATACTATGCAACTTTCTAAAGTTCTTGTATATAATCAATATACTATATATATATATATATATGGTTCTATTTACTCTCTCTATTTAAGATCTATCCTGACGAAAACCATGGATTGTATGGTGTTATTAAACATCAACATGAAACTATGGAGGCCTTTATCGACGATGTTTTTGGTCCCATTGAGGACTTTTTTATCGACGATTACTTCATGGCCGCGGCCAACCTTCTTCATGAACTAAGGGAGGAAAGCAAAATGTCAACGAAGACGATAGAAGTTTAAAATTAGACTGAAGAGTGCCATCCCATCCATTTATATCTTTTCGATTCAAAATCTATGAGTTTCTGAACTTCAAGTAAGTTATAAATAGTATTTGCTTACGCTGTTTGAAACACAAAAAGAATATATATATTATCTTGTTTTTACAGTAGTATATATGTTTTACCCTTTACAAGAATTTAATTTGAACACTCCGGTAAAAACACTCTACATAATGTTTTTAACTTTAAAACTTTTTAAACTTTTGAAAATGTGTGTTTAAACAAAACATTCCCATATTTAATAAAAGGATATTTTTCTCTTTAAAGGGAGTGACCGGCTATGTAAGGTAGTTAAACTGAGTATGCAGTGTTGTGGAAAACTTCTTTCGGACTCATTTGAGACATATTAAACTTTTTAAAGATCTGTAAATCCTGAGTTTGATCGCAAATTCGACGTTCAAAACTCCTACTTTGGGGGTGGATACGTTCAATATGTTTCAAATGAATCCGAAAGAAGTTTTCCACAACACTGCATACTCAGTTCAACTACCATACATTACCGGTCACTCCTTTTAAATGAATTCCAAAAGAATTTGAATGTACTGTAAACGTAACCTAAATAATCCTAGATTTAGAGATTGTCTGCAGTCAGATAAACAACGGTTAGCTTAAATTTTTTTTCTGAGAAAGAATGAGGCGTTGAGTGTCGAATTCTGACAATTTTCCTAATTGATTCTGCTGCATAAATTTGCAAGTTAATTTTTAAAAGAAACAACAATTGAAAATAATCAGTTTGCAGCTATAAAAATATGGTTTTGTCATTTATATGATCAGAAATATGTTTAATTAGTGCCGTTGTGAATGGGGTAGGGTCCCTTGAAATTTTAAATTTTAAAGTGTTTATGTGTAACTTTCTTTCGCTTGATGAGAAATCAGGCTTACAAAGTTTTAACCCTATCCCTGCTGGGGTTCTTGAAAACCAAGATGAGCTGGGAGGGGGGTCAATTTGACCCCCACCCCCTTCTAAATCCCATGTTTGATGTCCCAATATGACAAATGATACATCATTGGAAAGCGTATATGGTCTTCTCTTAGAATCTACAAAAAAATAGCAAATTTGCAAAAATTGAAATTTTTGCAAAAAAGTAGACATTCAGGAAGTGTGCCTGCTGACTTACAGCTAGGCAGTTAGTATAAGAGTCCGGTTTTAGGCCTAAAGGGAGGGCTTTAGGAAAAATCAAAAAATTTTAACAGCCTCGACCAATACTTTTTGAGTTATGTAACAAAAACTTTAGAAGGGGGTCAAATAGACCCCCCCCCCCGTAGGAATAGGGTTAAGGTGCTTGGTACTATAAAATTTGTTGTAAATAGGCCAAATAATAATTATCATTTTAGAAAAATACAATAGATAGATCGTAAAATGACATACTCAGCTTCATAACTAGAGAATATATTTGCGTAGAATTTGCAGATTTTTAGGAAACTTTTTGACCAAAATATAATCACACCAAACAAACACTAGCAGGGTGCAAGAAAAAAAATTGTGTTAAAAAATCTTTTTGTTTGTTGACTGTCTTTTGATGTTTTTGATGATGGACCACAGATTACACATTTAGGTCAACATTAAATTAAATTGCTTAAAAAAGCCTTATACCTTGTTTGTAATATTTCGAAATTATGCAATATTTTGCTCAAATTTATGATTGAGAGAATAGGAATGGGGTTTCAGTGAAGGCTTTGCTAATGAACCTCTCCTGAATCGGTTAAGATAAGAAACCATTACAATTTTTCAGCAATTTATGACAGACATTTCATAATAAAAACATTTTGATTTCAGAATTAGCAAGAAATTAACGTTTTTCGTTTTTAAACATGATTTAACAAAGTTACACGATTGTAAAAAGACAAGGCTTTCTCTCTCAGACAAACCGGTTCTTAGATTCCAACTCTTCAATAAATTACGGGGAATTCCTGGGGAGGGAAAGGTATCAAACGGTCATATGTTTAAAAAAAGTTTCATTTTGAAAATAGACAATTTTAAAATAATTTTGAAAAAATTAAAGATATTTAAAGTCAAAACCAAGAAAGACCATGAATTAATTGACAATTAATCAGACGACTTTTCCGTCGTCGTTGATCTTTGAAATATTTTACGGCATTCATTTGTCATTATAATTTTTAAAAATATACAATTATGTTTGATGAAACCGTGAACACAAAATAGCAATAGTGCTGCCATTACCAAAATGTGATCTGTCTTTCTTGTGAGTTCAAAATTACCCGAATTTTGGTTAGATTTCATTTGTATTTAATAAATCGAAAATTTTCTAATTTTGAATAAAATTATTCATGTCTCCTGTAATTTTGAACCGAAAAAAAAGGCATACCACATTTTAGAATGGCAGGTGATTATCGTTGTGATTATCGTTATGATTAATTGGTAAATAATTCCGGGTCTTTCTGGTTATGACTTTACAATTGACTATTAGATACTACAATTTAGTTTCATTTTTGATAATTTTTAAAAATCCATAACTATGACAAAAAACATCAAATAGTGTAATGCAAAGGTGTCATACCTTTGCGCTGGAATGAATAGCTAATAGTCTATTTAGTTTGCCCTCAAATTACCCAAATAAATGAACGGTCCCTTCAAAGCTTATATTGGCCTATATGTATATTCTATGCTTTGTACATACATAGTAGGTTTCCTTTACAAAAAATATTGTACTGCTGTTATAGATCATTTAACGCAGCAGATGTACCGTAAAAATACCATAGCAACCATGGAAAACAATTTTTTCAACCAAATTTTTCATTTATTATTGAAACTTATTCAATTTATGCACATTAGTTTATAAGAAAAAACTGGTTTAAACGTCCGTTATTTTTATATTCATGTTTACTATATAATTTTTAAGTTGATTGTACTCAACTTAATAATCTTCAACCAAAAACAACAAGAATTTTTAGTTTGGTAAAACAAAATATTTGGTTTGGTAAAAATGAAAATATTTGGTTTGGTAAAAGGAAGATTAATTATTTGGTTTGGTAAAAAATAAATATTTGGTTTAGTAAAAATAAAAATATAGGGTTTGGTAAGAATAAGAATATTTGGTTTGGTAAAAGTGAGAATATTTGGTTTGTTGAAAATGAATATTTGGTTTGGTAAAAATAAAAATATTTGTTCCGGTAAAAAAAAGAATATTTGGTTTGGTACATCTGCTTAGACGGCTGTGAACCAACCCTGTGATAACCCCCTCCAATTTCCCACCCCTTCTTCCTCCCTCTATCAACGTTTAGCCTAATATAACCCCCCCCCCCCCCCCCGCCCAAATTTAGAACTATTCCCCGAAATCTTTTTTATAAGAATAACAATATTTTTCCTAATTTTTAGTTATTAGATCTTTTCAAGCAAATTTAGATTTTTAACAATTCACATTTTAAATAAAGACAGAACTGTGGCGCCTCCCTCACAACCCACTATTAAAAATCCCGACTAAATATCCCCTCCTCTCTATTGCCCAATATTCCCATAATGTTTAAGTACTCTTCATTATTTGCTCACTGTCACTGTCAATCCACGTTTTATGTAGTTTAGATTTCCCCCTACTATATACAGCGTTATCCACAACGGATGAGACTAAAATGACGACAAAAAATTAAAAGAATTTAACGATCCAAAGGCGAAATTTTGTTTTCTGCATTTCATATAGTTTTTAATGATTTGACGAAGTAAAATCTAAGTTAACAGGTGCAGGGAACCAAATAAAGACTGAGTAAATTCTGCACAGTCGCTCTGAAGTCTCATCTTTTCATGGTAACCCTGTACGGTAATATTTAATGTATATTCTTGGAATTATGTACCATGACATTGTATTGTACACACACATGAACTGTCAGTGTGTGTACACAGTTTTAATCCTCTATCAATTTGCATGTTATGTACCAACCTTGAAAACCCCTAGAAAAACAACTAACAGTTTTTTAGTTATATCTAACTAGCGAAAGTATTTAGAAGTTTCAAAAATTTCGTTCAAAATTATGAAGAAAATGTTTGCAATTTTTTTAACACTTTTGGTTAGTTAAAACATTACATTAACAAAATGTTAGGTTAATCTTCTGAAATTGTACATTAAAACTAAAAAAACCCGAACAGCGCAAAATCTGAAAAATTGTTCAAGAATTTGTCCAGTCTTCATTTCCAGTTTTTCTCATTTCTTTATTCGTAACATGGAAATACTTTATTTCAAGTTTTATTCAAGTATTTTATCAATAGCTCAATTTAAAATAAATCGATAAGTTTGTTGTATACAATGCATTACAGACATGTAAATGTACAGTGATAACCAGAATACAGTGGATATAGAAGACGACTTTATAGCAAAACTTGATCTTTTTACAAAGAAAATAATTTCACTAGATGCACTGATTAAATCATTATTTAAGTAAAATAGGTCTGTTTACGCTGCTCAATACTGTGTCTAATGTTCGTTGAACTAGTTTAAGTCCTAAGTTGAGTCTAAACTCTAAAAGTCCTTTTCCTATATCAGAGTTTTCTGGTTATCACTGTACATAAAATGGTTTTGTTTATAAACTCAACGTATATCCTTGATGGCATTATCACCATGTTGTATCACAATTATAAAAATTGTACATAAAAAGCAAGACTGCTCTGCATAATCAGTACATGTTCTATAGTTGTTGAATATTTATATCTGTACATGAATATTTGTGTACAATGTACATGTATTACATCCTTTACCTCTTAAATAAATTATATTTTACTCTCACTTTTATTTCACAATTTAAAAAAACTCTATGCTGGCTTTAGAATAAAAGTCTACAGCCTTAAAGGTACTATAAGTGTAATTTCAAGTAACCCGTTATACAAAGATGGCAATGCCCGATGCACAACGGTACCCTTAAAACATGTGTCTTATCAAGCATGGAATGGGAAAGCAATGTTTATAATTTTGTAAAATCTTTTATTTTTAATTGTGATATCCCTACAAAAGTGACTGGCGAAGTTGCGCATTTCTATTGCGGAAAAATATGTAAGAATTATAAAATTAAAAACCTAAATCGGAATTTTCTTGCAAACCTGGTTTTGTATTGATACAAAATGATACAAAATTTCGTGCAAAAAAGTCAATTCGTTCAAA